GACCAGGAAATGCTAGCGATTGTACACGCATTCAAGGAATGGAGGCATTACCTGGAAGCCCCCTCTAAGACAGTGACTGTGGTCACTGACCATGAAGCGCTGACCCACTTTATGGATACAAAGGTGTTGGCTCGAAAGAGACAAACACGCTGGGCAGAAGACCTAGCAGCATTCAATTTTCGTATTGAATGGAGGGCAGGCAAGAAAAACCCCGCTGATGGCTTATCCAGAAGGCCTGATCATGAGCGAGCAATTTCAAGTGCTGATAAACAGGGCAATATGCTGCATGAACTCATAGCCCTACGCTCAGAGCCTCCACCCGAATCGGGTGGAGACGGTGAAGTACCGATATCGATTAGCGCTGTTCGAATTGCGGTATTAACGAGAGCGCAGTCGTTACGAAAACCGCATCCAAGGGACAGTGAATGGAACACTATTTTTAGCCCAATACCTTCTGCTGGCGAAGTAGAGCTAGAGCAGAAGAGCGATGGGTCAAATGAACTCATCGAGGACGGTCGCCTAGTAAATGTAAGCCAGGCGACCCCTGAAAGAGAAAGAGCGCCGACTTTCTCACCCGAATTGGGTGGGAGAGCAAATCTGGAAGCTCAGATTCGGGAGGCGCAGAGTCTTGATCGGTTCGTGGACGCACGAATGTGGACAACCTCCGTAGATGGAGGGCATTGGACACTAGATCAAGCGGGAATAGTCCGACGAAATGGACTTGTTTATATTCCCAATGATCCAACGATTAAGGCTGAGATCCTGAGGGTCAATCATGATGATCCTTGGGACGGGGGTCACTTTGGGCGAGCCAGAACGCTCGAAGTTATTCAGCGTTGTTACTGGTGGCCCAGGGTGAAGAGGGACGTTTACGAGTATGTGGATACTTGTGATGTGTGCCAAAGGATGAAGGTTCCAAGGCACAAGCCTTATGGAGAGCTGGTCCCTCTGGCTCCGCCGATGGAGCCCTGGCAAGGTATTGCCATGGACTTCATCGTAGGGCTACCACCGTCTAAGCATCGGAATAGCGTCTACGACGCGGTGCTGGTGGTAGTAGATAGGCACTCAAAAATGGTGCGTCTCATTCCATGTGAGCAAGACATAACGGCCCAGGAATTAGGGACGGTCTTAATTGATGAAGTCTTCTCGAGATATGGAATGCCTGAAACAATTGTGAGTGACAGAGACTCCCTATTTACGTCGAAGTATTGGGAGACGATGTGCTATTATCTCACGGTCAAGAGAAAGCTATCAACCGCTTTTCATCCACAGACAGACGGACAAACAGAGCGGCTGAATCAAGTGCTTGAATGCTACTTGAGATGCTATCTAAATGACGAACAAAGCAACTGGGCTGAACTGCTCAGCAGTGCAGAATGGGCTATCAACAATAGCCGGAACAGTACGATCAATGCTGTACCGTTCCAGGTAGTGTACAACTATAAACCCAGCATGAAAAGAAATCTTAAAGGTCCTTATCCACCCGAATCAGGTGGAAAGGAACCGCTCTCAATTCATGAGAGAGCAAGACAAAATGCTGAGGAGGTTTTAGCTGTACGAGCTCACTTGCGAGAATCCTGGCAAAGGACGCAAGAAAAGGTTAAGAGCTACTATGATCAGCACCGCAAGAATATAGAATTTATAGCGGGCGATCTAGTTATGCTCTCAACGAAAAACATTAAGTTACGCAAAGCCAGTAAGAAACTCTCTGACAAGTATATAGGGCCTTTCCACGTCAAACAACGAATAGGTAAAAATGCCTATCAACTTACTCTACCTAAGCGTTATGGACGAATTCATTCAACATTTCACGTTTCACTCCTTCAGGCTTATCATCAACGCCAAGGAACTCTTCCTTCTCCACCTATCAATGTAGATGAAGAGGAAGAGTTCGATGTGGAACAGATCCTAGACGCTCAAGGAAAGGGAGCAAGACGACGTTGGTTAGTTAAATGGCTAGGGTGGGGCCATGAACACAATACATGGGAACCTAGGAAACACTTCACCGGTGCCCTTGTGCGAAAAATGATCAGAGAGTTCGACGAAAAGTACGGCGTGCGTACTTAATGAGAAATATCTCTCACCTGAATCGAGTGGGGGTATACTCAGTTTCACCACAAAGGGCTACTTACAACCTGCGCCACGTGAAGGCGATACCCTTGCAGGTCGTTTTGGGGGTCCCGACCTACCCCCAAGGACAAGTATTGCCCTGCTGTCCACATATATCCTGTGTTTTAGGGAGGTCCCGACCTACCTCCCAAGGACAATGTTGCCCTGCTGTCCACTTATATCCTGTGTGGCCCTAATGTTGGTACCACAAACGAGAAGAACGACGTCGTCCAGAGACATCGTTGTCCCAGCGGCCATAGGCCCAGAGACGTTCTTGATTCATATATTCGACCCACATTTCAGGGCCGCGAAGAGTAGCTGACCACACGTCCGGCACTCTCTGGCGAGCGCGGACGGCGGCAGCGGAAGAGGAGGAAGAGGCAACAGCCTTCTTCAAGACCGGCGAAGCCGGAGGAGAGGAGAGAGGAGAGGAGGAGTCACTGGAATAACCAGCACTCCAGTCTATTTCACTGTCAGTGATTTCTCACTCGAATCGGGTGGGAAGGACAAGCATACCGAAACCCGAGCTGAAATCCTCCTCATCGTCATTGACGGAGGCAGAAGGGGCCGGGAGAGAGGGAGCCACTGTTCTAATCAGTATTATTCCTCCACCTCTTAATATCACTAACAAAAGGTGAAAACGTCCATTGGGACGTCTGGCAAATGCCAAACCTCCCCAAGATCGGAGAGGTCGGCATCGCCGCCAACCTTGCAAGCACGGTTGGCTTTTCGAAACATGGGCTCAAGCCCCTGTGCTTGGGACTTGAGCCATTCCCTGAAATAGGTGTTAGTGATTCATCACCCGAATCGGGTGAGAAACACCTACATCTGATCGGCTGGAATAGCCGAACCACTGCCAGCAACGGAAATTGCTCTCTCGATGAGAGCTTGGAGGGCACGACAACCTGCCTGCAGGTTGACGGGGACCTAATCCATTCAGCATGCCATTAACCTTGGCTGAATTCTCACTCACGGCAACGCAGCCAGCGCCAGGCCGGGAACGAGAGCAAAACCCACACGACTTGGACCAAGTCCAGTCGCAGGGCAAGGCAGAAAAAACTGGCTCCGAGCCAGGAGCAGACGGAGGATCCGCAAAACCGCGGAAAGCGCTTCTTTCGTCAGTACGCTGTCATTGTTCTGATATTGCAGAACTCACAATTCTTGCCAACAAGGCTGGCACCACAGCCCAACTGGGACTGAGTGTCCAGCCGGACTTCCTCGTACGTAAGAGGCTGTATACATGTCAGCAGCGTCTCTCACCCGAGTGGGGTGGGTAATACTTACACATCTTGTGGTTGATCTGAACGAGGAAGAAAGAGACGAAGAAGGCCATAGCAAAGGGCTCAAGAACCAAAGCAAAGGCTGAAGTGAATTGAACCTCACCCGCATTGCTGCAACAATACAAAACGGCTGTCTCACCTGAATCGGGTGGGAATTCAATCACTTACTATTGTCAGTGAATGGCTATTCAACTACCATATCATTGTCTTCGTCATTAACAATTGAGACGGCCTGTCCATACGATGGATCAAGGCTGTCTTCATACTCGCAGCGACTCGAGGGCGAGCCGCTTTTTGGAGGGGGGGCAACTGTCACGAACCCACCGTTGTCCCCAAGTACTCTACGCCCTCCACCCGAATCGGGTGGACGGTATAGAAAGAAAAGGAAAGGATAAGGCAAAGGACGGTTGAGGCACAAGGCTATCGGTTAACGCTGCCTTACCCTTTTCACGTGACAGAAAGAGGGGAAGCTATAAGAGTCTCCTCTCACCTGAATCGGCTGAGAGAGAACTCTTCCTTTTTCTCAAGCGTTGAGTCGTTGTCAATAGGGCTACGTGAATAGAACAAGGCATTCAGCTACTCCAATTCCTTTGTACCTACTGCGTTGCGTAGGTCCCTGATAACAAGATATTGGTCAGTTTTTTGCAGCAAAGAAGCTTACAGAGATGGATCATCCCATTGATATTGTGAGGGACAGCATTAGGAGGAATGCAGCATACAAGGCACGGGCGGGACGTGAAGTGTCGCAATGGTTGGAAGAAAACGGGTTCTTGGGATCGGATACCTGCAAGTTATAGACAGCTGTGTCCTTCGAACCTGGGGTCCGGTTTTCTGTCTCTAGCCACCTGTTTGCCATCTGCATCATGAAGCCTCGCCGTGTTCCTATTCACTGTCAAAGCGCCACTTGTAGCTGGTCAAAGTCTTCTTAATTGCAGCCTCATAACTAACTGTCACATGTTTCATGATTGCTCCAGATGCAGAGTTGGACGAGGATGCTCGTGATTGTCGGCTAGTTAGGACGATCATGAGATAAATGGATCATGAGATGAGTGGGCATCTAGATATGGCTGTGAACTGGGTAGCATAGCTGCAGCTGGAAAGTCAAGTTTCAGTCCTCGCCCACGTCTTCCAGAATAGGGATATGCGCTCTGTGGAGTCTGCAAAGGATGTTCTAGTGATTGTGGGTCAGATCCCCGACTAACTTTCGATACGAAACCCTCCCTTGAAGTACGGCCGTGAAGATATGGGCCTTTTCTCGGCCTTAGTGGGAGTGGTCGCCCGATCGCGTGCTCAATATGATTTTTTGTGAGTGGGTGTGTCCATATCAACGCGGGTCTTTATCTTGAGTCAGGCGATATCTGGTTTATTGTTCGACGAGGGCACATAATTAGTCAACCGATGAGGTGGTCACTACGCGACGATTGTGATGGGACTTCCGCTGGCCAGCGGAGCTGGAGACTGCTCGGTAGCACGATGTGCGTGCGATTCCCTTCCCAGGAAATCACAATTTTAGCTTGTAGAGTTCAAATGAATTGGAAAAGCTCGCAGTCGCCCACGCCCTCAATACAACTATGGGTTTGCACTAGAATCCCCGCCACAACTCAGATAGCCTTAAGCGTCATATACCCCCTTTTCAGGCATAACCTTTGACTCTGAAACATGAACAGTCTCGATGTTCGCTCCGCCAGACTCTGAACCTGTCTGCCCTTCTTCTTGACCATCGATAAACGACTCAAGGAGGGTAGTCGTAGGATATTGGTAAGGGAAAATCCAATGTAACGAGTAGGAAATGATGGCGGCTTTGCCACCATAGGTCAGCGAAAGGTTCAGCCCCACGAATCCAGTTTGACTTACCAAGGACAAACCCAAGCACGAAGGAAAGAGAGAAGATCCGAGTAGCGCCAGTTCCAACCGTGAGTGATGGGTTTACGGCGTGGACAAATCCTGGCATGCTAGGTACAACGGCGCAAATCCAGGCCACGCACGTGCGCCAGTTCGTGCCGTATGTGTACCAGTACAAGGACTTCTTGGACCCCTCGTATAAGTCAGGGATATGGAAGAGTCGCTTTTGGATGATCCAATAGTGGACGCAAAGCAACCCGATCATCGGGCCCAGGAAAACAGCATAGGCTGAAAGAACGGACAAAAACCTATAGCACCAGTTATTAGTCGAGTAAAATTGTGGGTACTAGCTAGTCACTCACGTCGAGCCCGAAGCCAGTTGTTTCCAAGGAACCGGGGCCACGCTAAGAACTGCAAGGATATAAGCTCCACGTCTCAAGTTGATATATTTGGGAAACACGCTGGCTACGTCGAGGCCACCAGCAAGAACATTCCCAACGACATTGATAGACAGCTGGGAGATGATGAAGACGACACCGAGGAAAAATGCAGCAGCTCGACCTCCAGAGCCATGTTGGTCCTGGATTGCCACAAATAGCGCAGAGGGATCCCAAAGAGGCGTGCCACCGCCATATTCTGCAAGAGAAATTAGCCTTCTCTGATCAGCAAAGGTGGTTTAATGGGCGCTCACGATTCTGTGTCGCTGCGGTAACCACAACACCCACAATGGCCATGACAGAGCTCGTGAACATGAATGAGAATGCTTGCGTGTAGGTGACATGGCTAGGTCGCTTTGCAAACCTGGTGAAGTCGTTCTGGTTCAAGATACCTGAAGCGATGCTTCCAATGACCGACATGACACCTCCGCTCATCTGCCAACCCAGTTCGGTCGAGGAAATTGTGGTTTTTGAATTAAAGACACTGCCGTATCCGTGGCTGGTTCCCACAGCCCAGCCGAGTAGGATAAAAAGGGTGACTGCAACAACGAAAGATCCAACGTGGAAGTAGGGACGGAGTTGTCCGGGTCTGAACCAGATGAAAAGGCAGCAGAGGACGTTGAAGAGGAAGTATCCCAGGAACTGTGCAGATGTGATCCCCTCCGACGAAGGGAGAGTATTGGGAATGCGCTCGTCCAGATCCATCCAAATTGAGCGTAGGCAAACATATATCATCTTCCCTCCAATGACGGCTTGGACTCCATACCAGGTGATTGACGTTAAGATCCGGTTGAGAATAGGAAAATATGCTCCCCACATCCCTATGTAGCATGGTTAAATGTTGGTCCTTTGTAGGAGAGGACATTCACATACCCCAGACACTTCTTGAAACAATGGGAAAGCCCAAGTGGCTTGCGGCGCCCGAGACTGAGTTTAGAACAGCAAAAAAGCTTGCAAGAGCATTTCCAATCAAGATGACAATGATAGCCTGCCAGTAGGTCAAGCCAGTAGCAATCAAAGACGACCCGGTTTGATAGGTGCTTATGTTCAGGTTGACAAGAAACCACAATTCCACGAACTGGAGCGGGCCTGTGCGAGAGGAGACGTCAGATGAATGTACGCTGTTGAGATGCAGGAATTTTTCATACCCCAGGTCTGTCGTTCGGGAGGAACTGGTCGGATGTCTTCATTGCTCCAGCGGTCACCCCGTTCGTTCTCAGGAAGCTCGATTATGCGCAGGGCTCTCCTGACAGCAGACATATTGGTAGGCAAGAATTTCGTAAAGCGTAACGCGCTCAGCGACCGTGCTTGGTAAGAGCCACCAGACCTCGTGCTTTCACTATATACCTCTCTACACCTAGAGAATGGATGATAACGGCATCGAGGGCTCCGAAGGCAGCGTCTCGAACATCATGGTTTATCAGGGAAGCACAGGATTTGCCTCGTTGATGGCGTTGGCCTGGGAAAGCCTGGCCGATCACGAATGGATATCCCCGCCATTTGATGGCGGGTCAAAAGGCATTGCTCTGTGGAGTCTTTGGGGGTTTCAGGGCTCGGAAAAAGGCCGAAACGCCAATTCAGATAAGCCACCAAAATAGGAAGCCCTCGCCGACAAGGGTCCACAATTTCTAGTTCGAAAGTTCGTTGGGCGGACGTCTCATCCTGGGCACACGGCAGACTACGGATCCCTACCATGCAATTCTGGAAACTGTCGTTATCTGCTCCACAGTAATAGCGGGACCATGGCCGCGTCAAGTGGTGGTTGCGGATCTCCAAAACCGAGGTATCATATCCTCAACAATGGCATGATGAAGCCCCAAGCAACTCAACATACGTCTTGTCGATTCCAATTTGAACACAAGACCTGTGAGGAGTATTCAAACGGCGACCCAAAATGGCAATACAAAAAGTGTACAGAATCGGCGTCGATGTTGGTAAGGCTACCCGTTGACCAATCCGATTGTAGCCTGGACGGCCACTGACTATGAGCAGGAGGAACAAATACAGACTGTGTCATCATTCGTATGTCAATGACTACCCGTTACCGTCAGATGTGAGATGATCTTACGACAACTTTGGGATAGATCCTGGCGAGGCACATTTGCCCGACCGTGGCATTCGCAGTGCATTCAAGACCCCGACAACGGCAAATGTGACTGTGGGTATAACGAAAGCGATTGAGGGAGCCATATCAAAATGCGGCATCCCTTTGGAAGCTGTGGCAGCAGTCATGATCGGGACAACGGTGAGCCCGAGACTCAGAGCAGAATCCTCTCAAAGGCTAAAATCCTCAGCATTTCATTAACGCTGTTGTACAAGCGGACGACCGAAATCTTAGAAAGGTCGCCGTCTTCAGAGTCTGTGGACCATATACAAAAGAAAACCCACCGTTTATGGATTTTCCACCTATTCTGAGCCGCATCATGAACGGCCATGTCGTTTATTTGGACGGCGGTCTTGAATGTAAGTCTCTCGGTGACGCGATCCTGTCACAAAAATTACTTACAGCTGCCAGTCGATACCCGAGAGATAATGCCTCTAAACGAGGCGCAAGTGCGAAAAGAATGCCAGATCGTGAAGGAGAAAGAACTCACTGACATTGCTGTGGTTGGAGTTTTCTCGCCTCTTGACATTTCTGGTAAACAGGAAGCACGAGTCAAGCAAATAATTCAAGAGGAGATACCAAAGGCAGACGTCGTCTTATCTAGAGACAGTAAGTCTTTCTATCTCCATTCTTCGTCCTTCCTTTGCTCTGCGTGCTAAATTCTCGGATAGTCGGTCAACTTGGCTATCTCGAAAGAGAAAACGCTACTATTCTCAATACTTCGATTCTGAAATTTGCTAGGAAGACTATTCGCAGCTTCAAACTGGCTATTCGAACATTGGGTCTTTCCTGTCCACTGTTTTTGACGCAAAACGACGGCACCATCATTGACGCAGACGCTGCAGAGAAATGCCCTATCAAGACATTCTCGAGTGGTCCAACTAATTCCATGTCTGGAGCTGCTTATCTGGCTGGTCTTGACACCGAGGAAAAGAAAATACGAAATGCACAAGTTATCGTTGCCGACGTTGGAGGAACCACAACTGATGTATGCGCACTGTGAGTCTCAATCCACGTCACGACCTGATAGCACCTGTTAACGTCTTGATGAAAGCTTGCCATCTGGCTTTCCCCGCCAAGCCGGTACATGGGTAGAGATTGGCGGTGTTCGGAGCGCCTTCTCTATGCCTGAAGTATTATCCGTGGCTCTTGGAGGAGGGACGAAAATTGAGGAGCGAGACGGCAAAGTCTATGTTGGACCAGAGTCTGTTGGCCATAGACTCACCAATGAAGGCTTGGTCTTTGGTGGGAAGACATTAACAACGACAGGTATGCTCTTCAACAGGTTGTGAAATCAATGTACTAATGTAGACCCCTAGATATCGTTGTTGCAAGTGGCCACGCGGACATTGGAGATGCTTCAAAAATCAAGGATGTTCCCAACGAGATCATCATCAAGGCACGACATCGTATAAAACGAATACTCGAAAATGCAGTTGACGCTATGAAGTTGAGTGCAGAAGATGCTGTCGTGATCCTTGTGGGTGGCGGCAGCATTGTGCATATGGATGATTTAGACGGAGTGGGACAAATCATCCGCCCACCGTGCGTCGACCTGAGAAAGTATGGTTACAGTTTTTGCTGACATCGCTAGGTTCCATGATTGTGCCAACGCCGTTGGAGCAGCGATCGCGAAAATCTCCGGGCAAATAGACGTTGTTAAAGTTCTCGAAGGTCTCGATGAGGACAAAGTCGTTGAAGAAGTATGTTCAGAGGCAAAGAAAATGGCCATCGACTCTGGTGCGGATCCAAAGTCCGTCACCGTTGTCGCCATCGAGAACATGCCTTTGCAATACGTCCAGATGCGCGCCTCGCGGATCGTTGTCAGAGCTGTAAGTCGACAATATGTTTCCTTGTCATTATGCAGACTAACCAATAGGTGGCCAGGCCGGCACTTTAAACCAGAAAGCCCTCTTGCATCATATTCCCAGTGAAAGCACTGAAGACCTTGTAGCACTTCAAGAGGTACTCGAGGAGAGAGTTTCTAGGAAGACGAACGCTGAAAAGGATCCGAAAGACTTCTTGGTCAGTCCTTCAGCACTAGTCGACATTCGACAGTACAGGCCCGAGGTCGATAAGAATGGCACATGGTGGGTATCCGAGATCGACTGTGAATTCCTTGCGACTGGTTGCAGTACCTTGGCTTGCGGTGGTGGAGGCCCCGGGTACATGTGCTATATGGCCGCAAGGGCAGCTATCAAAGCTGGTGAACGCTTGCCAATAGTTGATGTTGAGACTTTGCCGGACGATGGATATGTCCTCGGTAGCATATCTTATGGGTATGCTATATCATTCCTCTGCTTGAGGTGGCGAATACTCACGAGATCAAAAACAACCACAGTGCTCCAACAGTCACACTCGAACGTATTCCTAGCGGTACAGAATCGGTCGACGCCACGGACGCTCTTCTCAGTTGTTTCCCAGGGATCAAGATGAGTGCTCAGATAGCGGTATGATCAACCAATGTGCAATGCAAGGCCTGCGACTGACCGCATCTGCAGCTCGAAATCGGAGGGATGAACGGCATCCGTCCGCTTCTGGTTGCCAACAGTTATGGCGGTATACCAACCATAGATGGTGATCATATGGGAAGAGCCTATCCTAGGATCGGGATGGACACTCCAGCCTGTAAGCACATCTTGCCCGGTTTCGAACAGTCGTTGATTGGGTCCAGTATTCGGCTTCCCTCTTGCACCTTGCACACAGAGTGACGGCATGGGCAATGTCGTGACCGTCCACAAAGCGTCTTCTCCTGAGAAGCTCGAAAAGATTCATCGTAAGGCCGGTCAAGAACTTGGCCTATTCTCACAACTGGTCAATCCGCCTATGTCCGTCAAGGATACGAAGACGATGGCCACATTAGGTACTACTTCGCTAGCATGGTACATCGGCCGCGCCGTTTATCTCGCTAAGCAGGAGAAGACTGATATCATGAAAGCCATTGTAAAACGTCTTTTCCCATTTCTGCGGACCACTAAATGCTGACAGTTCATAGGTCGAAGCGAACCCATCAGGTCGTATCCTATACACCGGAAAGATTGTCTCCGTCAATCGGTATATTTCAGCCGGCGGGTATACGGAGGGTACAGTCCGTCTGAAGCCCATTAGTAACGATGAATTGGAGTACGGAGACACGGCCTCGACGGAGACGCGCGACATGGTTCTACCTTTCCAGAACGAGTATCTCTACGCAGAGCTCATCGAGCCAGATGCACCGAAGGGTACCAAGGGAGAAATTCTTTGTACAGTCCCAGACTTAATATCGCTCATCGGATCAGACGGGTATGCTCTAGGAACCCAAGATCTAAGATATGGTGTCCGGGTTAGCGTCGTTGCGTTTGTTGCTCACCCGCACTGGCAAGTCATATCCATGAATCTCGATTGAGGTTTTATCTTCTGACATCATTCTAGGTATACCCAAAAGGGGGTTGAAGTCGGCGGCCCTAGGGAGTTTGGTTACGACATGGACTTCATACCACTGGGAACACCCTATTACGAGCCCAAGCGGGTGACCAAGGAGTTTCGACCGGTGTGATAAACCAAGAGGGTTTTGTAAGCAGCTTTTACGAACCAATCGCGGTATAGGTGCGAGTGTCATTCCACAGCGACCCAGAAAAGCTATGGCAACACCCTGACCTTCACTCTGAATGCTTTTAGACGCTCGGCCCGAAGTTCCTTTGGCATGGGACAAGCCCCACTTAGTCAACATAAGCTGCGGCCCGAGATGGACCCTTTAAACATGAAATCGTAGACCGGCATATTTGGGTATGGCAAAATGCTGTCCATGAAGAACTAATGCTGTTTGATTTAAGCTGCCCCGAGCCAAATGTGCTGGGCCAAATTGAATAGTTGTTCATGCGTACAGGTGGCAAGGCGAGTCCTAGGGCGCTTGAGCTAGTCTTTCTCTTCCATTGATGCTCCAGCTGGTACCCGTGCATCCGTCAGGCTCGAAGTTAGGGTAATTATACAGTTGAACTCGTATAGAAGTACAAAAGCCATAGGGCAGCGTATCTCCGCTATATTTCAGGTAACCCGAGAATCGCACAGAAAGGAACGAATCAAACAATAATCAAATTGCCATCAAATGTATCAAGGGATTTTCTGAGGTTTATCTCCGCCATACAATTCTCTCATAAGGTCAATCATTCAATTATCTACAGAGTACATTATTAATCGGGAAGATAAATAGGTCCGTTCCCCCGCCTTAAGAATGCTCGGCTCATCGACGTCGCTCTGCGAATTAATAAGAGCCCGGAGCGCCCCTCGATTTGCAAGTCAAAGATATGTCAGAATCCTGAATATTTCAACTGTGCTAGTTCAACCCGGTACATGAGAGCACGGGCAAAAGTGCCAGTCATGTCCTCCACTGCAATCATCAATGTTCAAGTTTTTGACGGCGAAAACATTCACCCAGATACGACAGTGGTTGTATCTGGCCCGACGATAACTAGTGTGGGAGGAATTGTTCCTGATGGAGCAGTAGTTATTGACGGCAAAGGGTGTACGCTGCTACCAGGGCTCATTGACTCCCACGTTCACACGGGAGTACCACAGCTAGGGCTTGCTCTCAGATTTGGGGTAACGACGGAGTTAGAGATGATGGGACATTGGACCAAAGGTCAGCGGGGGGAAATTTCTGAAAGGGACGACCTGGCTGATCTACGCTCTGCGAACTATGGCCTGACACCGCCAGATGGCCATCCCAACCAATTGACCAAAAACCTCGATCTGCCGGCGGCTCTCCCGCATCATTCCGGCGGTTCACCAGGTGACCCACTGCTCATACATGCGCGAACAACAGATGAGGCGATCGCTTTTGTGAGGCAGCGTGTCAAAGAAGGTGCGGACTACATTAAAATCATGATCGAAGAAGGCTCAGTCTTCCGATCCCCTGGCCTTCCAACCTTGCCTCTGGAGACAATATTGGCGGCAGTTCAGGAAGCACATAATCATAATAAGTTGGCGATCGCGCACGCCTTGACTTATGATGCTGCACAAGAGGCCGCTAGAGCAGGCATCAATGGACTGTCTCATCTGTTTATCGACCGTGGTGCCGATTCCAGTATCATCAAGAATCTAACAGGCATATTCATCACGCCCTGTCTCTGCCTCAATGCTTCTATCTTGGGAAAGAAACCCACAGATTTCGCCGCGGACCCTCGGGTGTCTGCAAAGCTTCCTCCAGTTTGGCTCACTCACCTTGAAGGCAGCATGGGCACGTTTCCTGACAGGAATTTCGATGTCGTGCTGAAGAGTGTAGCGGACCTGCATCAAGCTGGAATCGATATTCTGGTTGGCACAGACAGTTCTTTCCCGGTGCCTTATCTTGCTGGCATTGCTCACGGTGCTAGCGTGCATCATGAATTACAGCTCTTGGTGCAGTCTGGCTTCAATCCAATCGAGGCGTTACGTGCAGCTACAAGTGTGCCAGCCCGTTACTTTGGCCTGAACGACCGAGGACGAATCCAGGAGGGACTTCGTGCAGACTTGTTGCTTGTGGAAGGGGATCCAACGAGCGACATTCGAAACACATTATCTATTAGATCTGTTTGGAGACGCGGCACCCTATTGTACTCCACCCTATAGTGACCAAATGTGCTCCCAGAATCGGCATTAATTGTCGGCGGTCTAGGAAAGAGATAGAGAGTTGGCCCTTTACCGCAGTCTGCCTCAGATCCTTTGTGGTAGCACCCTCAGTGTACAGACCCGAATGTCGGGCCGTCCAATTGACAGAATATACAAAATGTACAACTTCGGGCCGGTAGGGCATGTTCAGAGGTCAAGACCCAGAATTACCTTCAAACCCGTCTCATGGCCCCTAGAGCAGCTTGGTGCGGTTCTGGATTGCTCGAAACAAACCCATTCGCTCCCTGAGTAATTACATCTCTATGTTTTTTGATCTACTCATTTGCTTTCCGGACCGTAAATATCAGCTGAGATCACCGAAAGCCACGACATGCACTCGGAGCTAACGCTATCACGACCCCTTTCACAACGTCCACAAACGCGGGAGCAATTTCTGAGAGTGGCGGCTGATCCGAGCAGACTGGCTTCTTCTAAAACTTCTAATGACTGCGCAACTCTTCTTAACACGCCAGGTGAAATCAGGTTCTTGGTGCTTTTCCTTGTTACAAATTCATCGCCGGATCGTAGGGTTCAACCCGAAAAACAAGAAGTGTTATTGAGATTTGAGCCTAGGAGGTGCGACAATGAGTCACGAAATCAACAAGATCGCCATTGTCGGGGCTGGACCCGTTGGGCTCCTTGTCGCCATTTTGATCTCACGACTGGGCATTCCTGTCGACCTTGTAGATGTCGGAGAGGGTGTTGATATGCGTCCACGAGGCGCAGCCTACGGACCTTCCGCCGTCAGGTATGCTCTCGACAACACCATTGAGCCATCATCAATTACCGGAAAATATCGTCAAGCTGACAGTCACACTAGGGTTCTCCGACGCGCAGGAGTCCTTGATCAAATTCGAGCAAATGGCATTGAGCTCAATCATTTCTGCTGGAGAAAGGTCAGCGGTGAATGGATCACGGGCTTAAAGGATTGCTTTGACGAGACTTACACTGATCGGTTTGCAATACTGCCGGTGGACAAGCTATCCATGCTTCTCTACGAAAATTTGAAAAAGTATCCCACGGCTAAAGTATACTGGGAGCACAATTTTACAGGACTCACACAAGACGCGGAGCAAGTCACCATATCAACCGAACATAAGGGTCAAACAAAGACCTTCACGGCAGACTTCCTCGTTGCATGTGACGGTGGGCGAAGCGGTGTCAGGAGAGCCTTATTCGGCCGCAGATTCCCTGGCCACACGTGGGAGCACCAAATTGTGGCAACAAATGTACGTGTCGAGACCACCATGTCGAAGCAATAATGAATACTAAATATGTATAGCTTAAATTCCCTGACAACAGGATGGAAAAGTACGGATGGAGCGATATATTTTGGATGATCGACCCAGAATACTGGTGTGTGGTGGCTAAAATTGAGGCCAGCCCTGACGTTTGGAGAGTCTCATACGGGGAACCAGGTCATTTGGACGAAAAGGAGCTACGAGCACGCTGCGCCGGGAAACTTGCGAAGATTCTTCCTGGCGATCCGCAGCCAGGAGATTATGAGCTTGAAAGATTTAGCCCCTTTAAGCTCCAGCAGCGTTGCGCTGAGAAAATGACGGTGGGTCGAGTGACCCTTGCTGGAGACGCCGCTCATATATGCAACCCGATGTGAGACCCTCCAGCGGCTTCGTCCGACGTAAAAATAACTGACAGATTGAGCAGAGGTGGATATGGCCTGACCAGTGGAATCGCAGACATTGGCAGCCTTGTTGACTGCTTCCAGGGAATTCACGAAGGGCGCGCCAGCATAAACATTCTGAACAAATATGACCAAAGCCGGCGCGAGAAGTACTACACGGTGACTGATGCTCTCTCGACAGCCAACTTGAAGCGTCTGTTCCTGCCGGGAGATGACGCACTGATGCTTGATCCTGGCTTGCAACAGATTGCGGAGGCTGCGCGTAACCCTGTTACAGCAAAAGCATACTTTCAGGTAAGGACAGCACAGTCCTGTACTATGCAGATCGTTCATCTGACGGTTGTGGTTCAGGCTTCAGATAATCTCTCCGTGGATATGACTCAGTTTTGGGACATCAAGCCGATCCAAGAAAACGGCACTACGGCAATACATGCTTGAGGTTACAAGGCTCGATGGGTGTAGCTAGAGAGAAGAGTGGCTGAGAAGAGAATAAATACTTCGAGCTATTCTACACTTCCTTCTTCATTCTTATGACTCGGAGCTGCTCTGAAACACTTGATATGTGATGACTTGTTCTTGTTATCCGAACATGACACTTTCAAAAGTTCCACCGCTGGTCACGCCCATCTCATCCTAATTTTCGAAGTAGGCCGTGCAACCAGAGATGGTTGATCAGGCCCTGCTTGGACGCTCGGAGAGTCAACCGCTTCCTTGAAGCAACTTATGCTAACAGCATGGCACTTGATATCGATCTCATCAAGACTATCCATTTGCAAAGGGCCGACAGAAAATGCTTCCGACAGATCTTAATCTTTACACGGACCAGAGAGCGAATCCGGGCAAAAGTGACTGAGCCGACCGACCCGAAGTCAAGGTCTCGCACCGAAGCTTCACTAGAGTCGAACGGCTCGTTTTCGGACGGTTTTCAAGTATCCTATTTGTGTCAATCCGCAAGGTAGCGTACTATCAACCGAGTTGTTCTCTCGAGAATTAGCAATAACAAATTTCTGGCAATTCCAGCTTCAGCTGCAGGCTTCGCGAATCAAGACGTGAAGACCATCTTGTTGGCGATCTTCCCTATCTTCTCTATTTCAACCTCGACAAGATCTCCGGAATTGAGGTAGACTTGGGATTTCTTGCACGCAAGAACACCACTAAAGTAGTCAGCAGGGCTCCTGAAGTGGCCATAGGACTACTCACTCCGGAGTCCCGGTCATGATGACTGTACCCCTTTTCAGCGTGATTCCCTGACTCATGTGGCGAACAACAGCAGCGACGTCAAAGATCATGTTGTTAGTGTTGTTATTCTGCTTTATTTCGCCATTCACCCAGGTCTTGAGACACAGGTTTTGAGGATCCCCGAGAGCTGCAGGCGATGTAATAACGGGGCCGATTGGCCCAAACTGGTCAAACGATTTTGAATGTCCATATTGGCCTCCAGACTGCTTTGGCCATGCCCAGAAGCGTGCGGAAACGTCGTTGCCGGTAGTGTAGCCGAGTATATATTCGGAGAGGTCGGCGTCTTCTGCTAGATTCTTTGCATCTTTGCCAATAACGACGCAAAGCTCGCCTTCATAGTCCAGGTCTTTAGCCACCAGTGGTATTGGAATGTCTTGATAAGGACCCGCAAGCACGTCTGGACTCCATGTCAGTTCCTATTAGAAATAGAGCAACGCGGAGATCTTCACCACCAAACTTCGTGAATAATACCGGGTATGAAGGAATCGGAAGCTAAACTTGTCAACTGCGAGCCAAAACAAAGCCACGAGGCAATGTATACATTAGCTTCCTCGGCATGCGACTTGTAGTTCAGTCCAATCCCAAACATCAACGGTATTGTTTCTAGTGGACTCAATATCTATCAATAGTCACCAACTCACAAAAGCTCAGTGAATAGGACGGAAGCAATCTGACCTTTGCCACTTCTGCCTTCTGGCCAGACAAGGGAAACTCGGACGCCCAAGAACTAGTGATGTCATAGGTTGGGAGCGTCTGACCTTGAAGATTTAGTTTCCAATCCGCACCAGCCTCGCCATAATGAATCTTCCCTTGAGGATCTTCGAACCGGATGAGTCTGGTGAATTTGGACGTCATACTTATGGCAAGGATCGAAGCTTGGAACGACCTGTCAGGCTGTATATTGTGGAGGCTGAGGCTGTCAAAGGATGCTTGTGTGAAGGGGATTTCAACTTGCGTGACCGGAGAACATTTATATTGTGAATGACGAACCTCTGGGTCGGCTTGTATAAGAATGAGCGTCGGTGCTCGGAAGTGTTGGTGATTGGATTAGTTAGTAAATCGGCCCGTGTTATGGTTTGTGGGAGAGCACTATCCGTGCACCGATGCTGCAGAGGAGGACCGGAACGAGGCTCGGTTCTGTGCTGCCGACCACGCATTGCATGTCTTTCAGGATATCCAGGAATCGAAATCGTTGACCAGCGGGTTATGGACATCCTGGGTTTGTTAAACGAGGCATATGCACCAGACGTCCTTGCTAGCACGACTCACCATCCTTGATATTACTGGAGCATGAAATTGAGGTTCACCAAGACTCTGTGCAGGACCGTCTGACAAGCTGGCTGCTGAGGCTTCGTCCACCACCTTTCGGGCGATCGCCGCAATGTCGCGTGCGAAAGGAAACCTGAGTTTGGACCCGGTCACAAACTCCATTTGCCCAAAGTACCCTGCGGCCACATCCAGAAGTGCAAGGTCCGACTTTACAGAGGGTATTTCTGGATTTGCAATAACGTAAACGAATAGGTTAATGAACGCATGCATTGGAAAGTGGAGCATGAATCTATAGGCATAATGTCAGCAAGGTATAACATACATCAAAGGGTATGGACGCCCACGATTGAGTGCCTGCTCTGTCGATATCCAAATTCCTTGCGATGACAATAAGACTGCGCGCAGCGTCTGCGACTATCTGTGAGCTCGCAGCAATCTGTGTCTTGACTTTGGCAGCGAGACTAGCGTCTAAATTGCCCGGAAACGACTCGGTAACCCACGGGTACGCAAATATAGTATGCACAAGCATGAGAAGGTCGTAAAAAGAGCAATGAGTCGTCATCAGGCCTAACATCTTGAGGGTGCCGGGCATGTGAAATTGCTTCAAACAGTCGGCAGGTCGAAGCTGTTTGGGTAACGCCTCCTTGAAAAATCTGAGCTGGGCATCGAAGTGCGCAACAAGATCAAACATCTTCTTAGGAGGTTCGTAAAGTGCCTGGGTGGCTAGTAGCTCTTTGCTGATTTGGTCGTAAATTTGACAAGTTTGGATGATATATGTGAGCATTTCCGGTTCGGTACTGCTCGCTGTATGCAATATGGAGGGTATATCGCAGTCAATATCGTCGTCATCTATCACCTTTCGAGTTTATTAGCGAGTAGAACGCTGCATTGGGAGGGTAGTTCCACTCACAGAGGGACGACCGCACCTTTGTGCGATATGTTTTTCGCTGCAGTACACTCCCCAGAAGAGCCATGTCCGCTGTAGTGCTTCCAAGCCTCCATTTGGTCCGATTTCGACTGTTTTACGGTGAAGACCGAGTGACTGTGCCAGGAGTGCTGCGTTTGATACCAGCCCAGAGCTGAGAGCCGGGCTTGCTAAGCCATCCGCAAAAAGGCCCTGACGTGGGATTCTATCAGTGTCTTCCGAGTCATCGGAACCAAATCTTACCATCGCTAACAATGCTCGGACAGACCTCAGTGATGGTCTTGTCAGTAACAGCTCGCTATGTACGGAAAGCGAATTTTGAAAATAACCCCATGCCTCTCTTTGCACATCTACAAAATTAGCACTTGGATCCTCAGAGCGCGATATCCGACAGCCACCGGCGTACACTACATTGCAAAGTGCATACCAAGCAGAGTCATTGTAGTCCAGCTTGCCGGAGAGATGCGCGCGTAAATATCGCTCGAATTCTGGTCTGTACACGGCACCAAACAAGCCGTCGACCGATCGTTCGAAATAAGCTGGTCACCATTAGTATCTGCGCTGATTTTAAGTGCTTGCCATCAAGCGCAAATCATACCTTTACAATACTTCCAAGCAAGCTGAGGCTCCGGTTCGGCACTCTTCGAGGCAGGTTCATTATGTTCGAGCTTCAATGCCTTCGCCCAGCTGTCTTGTAGCTCCTCGGAAATTTCTTCGAATTCATCTGATCCGATCCGTTTGCAAATCCAAGCACGTCCGGGGCCAGAACAGATGGAAAGCCAATACCCGGGGCCTGCCAAATTAATTTGGGGTTCATATTCGATGCAATACCCACGCACCGTAATGGTTCGGGATTAACTATCGACGAGATCAACACCATGATAAATAAAGGGATTGCATGTCCGATCAACTTACGGTTTCGACATTATCGTATGGAAATGGACTCGGGAGTCTTTCATGTAGTTCGACTGCACCATTTGCATCCGCCGCGAATGAACAGTCCATTTCAGATCTTGACTGGTTGCCGGTCAAGAGGCCACCTCGTGCAATTTCGCTCGCGGTTGCGGGCAAGGAGGTTTCAGGCTGGTGTAGAGTTGGCAAGATGTCCAATCCAGCGGTGAAGAGCCCATCGTGAGGAGGCCAGAAGTCTGCGTTGCCAAGCGAAAGAACTTGATGATCGAGATTGTGAAAGGCGTCATGCTGCTCCTCTGACGCTCGACTGTTTGGATATGGGATAGTTGCAACGTGAGTTTGGCCTTTGCCTGCCATGATATCTACATTACTGTTGCTAATGTCTTCCAGCAAGTGATGAGAGGCAAGTATATAACGAGATGATGGAGGGATGCACGACGTACGGAGCGAACATTAGAAATGCGGAGACGCTCTGCACGGCTGCGAGTGAGGTGGGTCACTGTTTGTATGGAGGGCAGGGAGGGGAACCCCCCCTCCTCCTCGCGGGGCGACAGGTTACCTAGGTTCACGCTTTGGCTAGGGGCTCTTGAGCCACCTATCAAGCCACCCGAGTTTTTCTATCAGCAGGCTACCGAGCACCTAGTCTACTTACAAACTTCACGTCGCGGGGGAAGGGCATTAGGATAGTGGGATGAACTAGGGGTTTCGAAGAGCAACTCTTTTCCCTGACGCCACCTCCTCGTCTCCGTCATGTTATTGTCTTCCCTGGCACCGCCTGGCTTACTCTGCCATGGACACCGAGCATAACCCAACATTCGGAAAGCGTTACCATTTGTTTTACAATCTGAAATGTCTTCGCAGCTGGAGAAACAGAAAACTGACCGGGTGGCCATAGCCTGTCGAAACTGCAGGCGCCGAAAAGTCCGCTGTGAGCAACTAATTCCTGTAATAATGCCATGCTTCTCGCAACTAACTTGTCCAAGGTACCGGCGGGTATCCTTGCAGGAATTGTTCAAAACTGCCGATAGAATGCACTTACCCGCCTCTGCAGCGGCGAAAACGAGCGAAAGAGAAAGCTAACTTGGACCTCACTGCTGTAGAACAGCTTCCAATAGTAGATGACGCGGTTCAGGTGACGGACGATAATCAACCCACGAACATCACACAGAATCAGGCCCTCACATCTGAGCTCGATTCCTCCCTTGCCGCCAATTCCGCACCCGCAGCCTCGAACACACTAGTCAACCAAGCAACCCGCACTGTACAGGACGACCCGGTTTCGATATTACCATCATGGGAACCGGGGCCCCAAGAGCGCCATGAGCCACATCTTTTGCCCCAACAGCACCTTCCGCCGCAAGATCATTTCCGTACTAGGTCCATCGACCGGAGTTCAACTGAAGCTTTCAGCATGTCAGATGGCTCGACCGCCAAAGTCGCAGAATATCCTGCAGGCGAAGTGGTCGGTAGAAGAGAGCAAGAACCATGCGCATGGATGTCCACTTGCTCCGAAGCTGGTATCGCCTGGGTTTGTGAAGCGATAGGAAGCCGGGCGTTTGCCAAAATTGCAGAACGCTTTAAGAGAAGCATGCATCACCGTTTGTCAACCAGTACGGATCTAATGCTGACATCGAGAGGAATTGAACCAACAGAAACAATTGCTTGGGAGTACGTCAATGGTGGGTGCTCAAACATTGAACTTAGACAACCCATTCTAACCCGGGAATCCACCAGCCTTCTTTGACAACTGTTGGGAAGCCCGCATAGGCCTTATTCATCGGTCAGACTTCGAAGCTCAGCTTCAGGCTCATTTCCATAACGAGACCTATTCAAGAAACGACTATCCCATGATTGCTCTACGAAACGTTGTTTTCGCGGCAGGGTACCGAAGTATACTGGCCAATACTCCGTCGGTCTCATTCTCGACTGCCCAGACAAAGCCATGGCAATGCTATTTCAAGAACGCATTATCTGTGCTGACCAAGCTCTTGTTATCGCCCCCGAAATTGATGACAGTTCAAGCTCTGGCCCTGATGGTAAGGTGACGCTGATACTGTGAAGTTTTGCTGACCCAATGCTCATTCAGGCTTGTTACGTCGAGGGACTAGGCAGCCCAGGGTTTCAGCGTGTACTCTGCTACAATGCTGTTCATGCTGCTGTCACGCAAGGCTTACACCGAGAGTCGGACTATCTGACAGAGACTTCCTCCGACGACAGCCTCAAAAAGGCCTGGCTGTGGTGGGCACTCTATGCTCAAGAGAAGCACATCTCCCTCACCAGCGGAAGAGCATCTATGATCGACGACCATATCAGGAGTACAAGAGTACCGTCAAGGGTGCCTGTTGACAGCAACATGGACCTGGAATGCCTGAGTCTCCAAATAAGACACGCCGAAATTAGCTCGAGGATTTCTCGAGAGATAATGTCGACGAAAGCAACCAGATCATCTACGGACGAGTTGCTGAGAACAGTGAAAGACCTCGGCCAACAACTCAAGGATCTCGTCGATGAGATTCCACCGGGTCTCCAGATCGGCACGCTTGCCAAACCGTCTGAGGAGGCGCATCTTATATCTCGCCGCATTCAAGCCTTACAATTACACTTCTCCATCTACGGCAGTTTGCTCGCGGTTCATTGTCAGTTTTTCTTTCCCTGGATAACTTCCAGATTTCTGAACGAAGGCGCTGAGACTTCGTTCCTGGAGCCACAGATCGCCTTGTCTTCAAGCACTGTGGCCGAAGCAGCCCGTAAGATATTACTGGCTGTTCGAACGGTAACAACAAATGTGACTACTCCAACATGGCTGGCTTTCTTCTATCCGATCTACGCACATATGAGCCTCTTTATCTATATATTGAAGTATCCTACACTGTCCACCGTTAGCTCTGACCTCGGTCTGCTCGACGTCTGTGCCGGACACTTTGGACACATTGAATTTATCACCTCTTCAGAAATATCCGTCTCGTTACCGAGAGATTCAGTCAACCTCGCCGCGAAAGTGGTCAAAGCTGCAAAGAAAAGAGAGCGGCAGGCAAGTGGGTCGAAACCTGAGCATCCCCAATGTATGGGGAGCCTTGAGACCCAAGATCAAGCATTGGGCGACCATAACCCTAGCTGTCCACGTTTCCACGGGATCTCTCCAACTTTCGGGCATACGGAGAACTTCACTGGGATTGAAACAGGAGGCTGGAACTTATTCCCGTTCTTCGATACGATCAGTGGGAATGACTTCAATTTTGATCACTTCGAGGCATAGTGCGGTGGAAGGCTCCCTTCCGCGCCAGAATGCGAATGGTAATAAGTCGACTGTGGTGTCACCATGGTATTTCCTTCTCGAAGTTGGGATTACTGGGGCTCCACAAAGGAGAGAAAGGTCGAGCCCGCTAACACACTCGGTTTCCATCCTAAACCACACTTGATCTAAGCCGGTGTCTAGATTACACGTTGGAAGCTGGCTTGTGAAATGCTTCTCAGCCGCGAGTCAAATGATCATGCACAGAAGAGCTCAAACGGGCCGCGAGTTGCTCCTGCCGCGAGTTCGGGCCGAGTTTCTGAAGTCAGTTCGGCTCTTTGATTTTTGCTCCCGCTTATGTGAGGATGAGACGGCAGAACTATGCGTCGCCAAGGGTCTCCTTCCATAATCTGGGGAGGTCTCATCAGACTCCACCGTGGCACGTCGAATGTGCGACTCATTGATTCCATGACTGCACTAAGTTTTGCTAGAGTGCGAGATTGATATCGGACAATCTCGGGGAAAGAACTCGAGGAACACTGCCATAGGCCATTTTGAGCAAGAATGCCGCCGTCTGAGATGAAGTCTCCTGGGCGCCGTCTAACAATGCCCTGCTTCCTCCATGGCCCAAGACCGATTCACGTACACCACCCAACAAGATGTTCAACGTCAGTTGCACGAAATCTGCTTGTTTCTACTACATTCACGAAGGTCCCGACACGACGACACTCGACAATCCACCAAACCCTCCTTTGCTACCATCTGCTGTTGTAAAGAAACCTTCAATTGTGAGTCTGTCTCCATCCTCGAGCCATGACATAGGTTTTCCTCCGACTGCAGGCAATTTATGCTTTTGAGCGACCACTTCCAACAAGCAGCCATACGTCCCCAATCCCTTTTTCACTTCAGGCGCCGGAGACGAGATCGTGCCACTGCCTGTAAGATCTCCCGTGTTTAGGCCCCATCCAGGTGATGATTGATATGCAATCATCTGTGGGACAGTTTAGTAGGAATTATTATAGTTTAAACGAGTAATCTCTACTGGAGAATTGCCACCACCTCCTGGTACTATCAATGCTAAGACCTTGAGGCAACATTTAAGTCAAACTCACGCCCAACCGTGGCGTTGAAGTCAATATTATAGTTACCATGGTTATTTTCATCAGTAACCAGCGAAGGGTGGATTTGTGTTTTTGTTTGACGTGGGCGAAGTGGCGATAGCGCTTTCTAATGCTTCTACTTTTATAATCCACGGCGAGATTGTCGTAATGAATCCTTTGGCGTGTACAGGTCCGAGTGGAGGCATCTCATACGCTTGAATATCTCGCGCCGACCAGTCGTTGTGTAGCAGGTAAACGAAGATATGGTCTGCCGCAATCTTCGCGTTTATGGTGTTACCATGGAGAACGGGTCTGGAAATGAATGCTCCAAGTTCGATTTCAAATTTCACTGCGAATAGTCAGCTTAAAAAGCGGCTTTGTTTCATCATAATGTCGAGCTAGATATTTTGCCAGTACCTAAACAGGTTCTCGAACGAACTTACTTTTCCTTGAGATCTGAAAATGGGGCTTGCTCTCGCCGTTCTTGTTGAAAAAGCTGCAACGACGGTGAACAGTGACCTGACAGGAAGATAGAAGACAGCCTGCCATTGTAGCCGAGCGGATACTGTTCAAAAGCGGGCGGAAGGTCAAGACCTATTGGAAACAGAGACCGTCGATGATAAAACTAGTACAACTCTAAGCCGCAAGATATGGAGCCCGAGTTCATTCTGTGCATGAATAAGTGACGAGAAGGAGTCAGTGCAATCGGTTATCCTCAGAGGTATATGCATGTCGACGTCGTCGATCGGAACGAACGCTTTCCCATTGAGATCTTGGTTTGTGAAAAGAGCGGACTTCGCGCTGGTGACGGTCTCAATAATGGCTGTCCTAACCCGTCATCTCTCAATTGTTTCGAACGCAGCGAAAAAGTGAGGGACTGGCCACTACATCATCAGAACTGCGTTAAATTCATCAAATATCGCTCTTGCTACCTCAAGAAAGACGCCGTGCATAGCTAGCTCATGTAATTCGAGGACGAATTGGCCGATTGCGACTCCAGCACGCGGTTTGGACTGAGCATCGTTAGCACTGCAGTGGGAATGTTATAGGGTCCAAAAGGATTCCCAAGGGGAATCACGAAGGGAAATGAAACAGCAACCATGATATTAGACCCAATTTGACTGAATGCTGGCCGTGGTAGACTGTTGCCTATTGCTCTTGTGATCAAAGCAGGTTTACTCTGTATGAATTTTGAAGTCCCATTTCTCTTATGCTCGGCCCGTAGACTAATCTAAGCATCCGACTTCGCGGCTCTTTGGTACGGAGCAAATGCAGGGAGACTGCCTCCACGTGAACAAGTATGGACATCGATCACCCTGACCCGACCCCTCAAAAGGCGCTAAGCTAAGTCACTTGCCAAAATTCGACTCCAAATACATTTTACCCAGATTGTCCATTGATCAGTGGACGGGACTGGCCATGTGCGTCTTGCTGGCGCTCGAAATTTAAGGACGGAATGTAGACATTTTTTCCAACTCCATCAAACATCAAAACCCAGAAGCGCACCGCCTCACATCCAAATACTTTTCTTTGAGCACTTGGAGTTTTTGCGGAAGATACTTCAAGTTCCCAAGGCCGACCATGACGGGCACGAGCAACCTTTCCACGCCAAAGAGATATATCACCACCAATAATGACAGTGGTGAATCGGTGTTCACCCCTCGAATCTCTCCAGATCCTCCCTTTCGAACACTGCCAGATGGGTCGAGAATCATGTTTTGCTACGGGACTGATGAGTTTCCCATCAACCTGAATCTCGACCAGGATTTACGGTCTTATCAACATCTCATTGATAATCCGCCGGGAATCGTTGTTCAGAATGGCGTACCATTTCGCATCCTCGATCTGCCACCTGGCTACACATCACCCATGCACCGCACTATCAGCGTGAACTTCAATGTCGTCCTCGAAGGACAGCTCGAGCTGATCTTGGATTCAGGGGAGAAGCGCATACTCAACCGTGGCGATTCGGCGATACAACGGGCCATCAATCACGCATGGAGGAACGTCAGCTCCACGGCATGGGCTCGTATGGTTGCCGTGCCCGTTCCAGCAGAGGCAATACAGATTGGTGACAGGAAGCTTGAAGGTACTGGCATTCCAGGAATGAAATCTTCATAGTTAGTGACGGGCAGGTTTTTCAGGTGGATGCTCCGCTAGACTCGAGAATGTGAAGTCGAATATATCAAAAGGTTCCGGCCACACTTGGTACTACCGTACCTCCTCGTGCTTAGCTATTGTTTTCCGGCCAGAATAAAAATTCTGGGGATTATCTACCTGGCTGTGGCTCTACCCTGGATACGTAGTAAGCGGTTGGAACATTCTTGCTCTGCGAATGCTAGTCTGGATGTGGCCTTTGCGGCGATATCACAATGCCTCCCTGTGCACTTCCATCGCCGCACCATTGAATCTCGGGCGACCCACCATTTGAAAACTATTCTTCGAGAAACCATTTGAAACCGAATTGTCGGGCCGAGGCTTTCAAGATACTATAAGACGCTCAAGCACATTGATTAGACCGAGAACCATTTTCGTATCATTGCACGCTTCGCGTTCATTCGAGGCTTACCATGGCGATCCCGATAGCCTCTGATTATACAAACGGCGGCATTGGGCTGAAGAAGCAGAGCCACCCAAGTCCCATTGCTTTCGCTCACGTCGTGCTAAGAACTACAGAGGACAACTTCAAACCTATGGTGGACTTCTATGTGGATATGTTGCAAGCTGAGGTCATCTGCGAAGCAGAAGAATTCTCCATGTTACGATACGACTTTGAGCACCATCGAATCGCCATAGTAAAGATGCCCCAAGTCACACCGCAGGAGGCGAGCCCTTTCACAGCAGGCCTCGAGCACACGGCATACACCTATGAAACCTTGACCGACCTCGCGATGACATACCGAGCTCTGAAAGAGCGCGAGAAATCCATCACTCCGCTCTGGTGTGTGAACCACGGAATGACGACCAGCATGTACTATCGGGACCCCGATGGTAACAAGGTGGGGCTACAGGTTGACAACTTCGATACCGCTGAAGAGGCCGACGCATTCATGCGAGGACCACTGTTCATCTCAAATCCCATAGGGACCGACTTCGACCCTGACGAGTGGTCGGGTGAAATTTTGAGTAAGATGCGGGAGGACGGCTCGGAAGGACTGTCGGCAGAGGAGGTTAGGCGAATCAAGACCAGGAAGGAGATTGATGCTAGGTCCAGAGTGCCCGGCTTCGTGTATGGCCTTGCGAATTGAGATATACGGCGGACTCTCCCTGTAATTTTCGAAGTGATAGGTTCTTCATCTTGTGCAAGAAGGCAGAGCAAACGTTGTCACTCCACAAACCACGGGGATGATCTCGGGCCGAATTGGCTTTTCTGTGTGCGATCGCAGACCGCTAATACTCTGAACATGGGCCACGCCTTGCCGTATTCTAGGAGATCAAGGCGATATAATATTTGTGACTCTTGTTACAATTTAGGAGGGAGTAACTTTGGACTGTATCCGTGGTCAAGTGGATGACCGAATTCGTCAGAATTACTTCGTACATGACCCGAACATCGACGTTGGCTCGAGCACCCAACATGACTTCGTCTTGGCCAGCGAGGCCTGATACCTGGCCAAAGGGACTGTACAACAACGTGGTAAAACTCCTCAGCCTTTACTTCCATCTAGTGGACAGCAAGGAAGCATCAGCTGGACCCCGACTTGCGGATGAGGTCTTTTCAAAGGACGGCAAATGGTTTGCATCTGCTGGTTACTTCGAAGGCCACGGTATGTGCATCCTACGCACCGCGCAGATCGGTGACACCTAACTTCTGACCGTCCATTTGAAAATCCAGATGGCATTGCGGCGTCGCGAATCAAGGCATGGGACACGGTGAACTCACAAAGCCACGAGCTTCGTAAGGTTTTCCTAAACGACGCCCACGGTCTAGATCTCCTGCTTGTCGGCGTGGCCAACGTCGACAGGAAGAATACAGGACCCATCACTGTGGAGTTTTTCGTGCGTGCCGTCATTTCCAATGAGCTCTGGGGACCTCGGGTCAAGTACTGGCAGCCCGTGGCCTTGAAGCCCGTCCCTTCAGATCAGCCGCTCCTGGCGGATGTTGAGCTCTAGTAAAGATTTCAAATGGAAAGCAACCTTCGGTGAATCACATCAGTTTTCAAGAGCATCTGAGACGCTAGGATATAAATGAGCACTCTGCTCCAATGGATGGCTCTTGGCCATCGATTCTGAGTTAACACCACGAAAAAGATTGTTGCAACATGGTTAGAGGTTATGCATTGTGAAGCTCTACATGCAGAAATCATTGCTTTTTCCCTGCTGGTTCATTTCCTCAGACGGACTGTTGACGATTTTGCGAGTAGCAGTATTCATTTATCGTCGCAATTCTTTCCTCAACATGGATCGAGCTCCTTGCGGAGTATCTCGGAGACAGAGCGGTACTTGGCTCTTCGTATGAAATGTAAAGCTGTGAGAGCATTCGTAAGATAGCCTTCACACTTTGTAGACTCCTCCTCTCGCTCGCAACCTTTCGCCATAAAGCTGAAGGAAGAGAATGATGAGGCCTGCAGCGCCGGCAATTGCAGCTTGGATGCCGAAAGATACATCAAAGCCAGCATTCTGTCCCCAGGCCTGTTGGTAATAGGCAACCGAGAAGCCTCCAATGACGCGGGAGAAATTGAACCAGGCTGAGAGTTCACCTGCGGCATTGGGATAGGAGTCGAGCGCATACGCCATTAGAGGAGGAGAGAATATCATGGTGGCAGCGGTGTACATGCCCCATCCAAAGGCCACCGGTGCCCAGGAAAGACGATGCTGTATGGCCTGCCCAACAATGATGAGTCCAGGGGCAGTAAGAATGAGCGTGAAGTAGACGGGAAGCAGGCGAGCTTCCGGCTTGAAAATCCCACCATGCTTTTGCACATAGCGTCTTGCAACAAACTAGAAATCCTGTAGTGAGTATTGGAAGATATCCACGGCGCTAAAAAGGACAATTTATACATGGGAGCTTGGGAGACAGCAAAAGCACAACCTGGACTTACATCATTGGCCCAATTACCCAATATTTCACCAATGATTATAGCAATAATCGGGGCCCAGTAAAGATGCCCAAGCGCGTACATGCTCATTCCATAGCCTCCCATCTCTATTGGTAGAGAGAATAGGATTGACGTTGACTGGTTGATGCCAATAGCCCACATGCAGCTCAAGAAGCTGGTTCGGATGCGTCAGTAAGTTTTGAGATTACCGTGAATGGAGAGTTTGGGACTCACTAGAACAGATACATTGGCAAAACGACTGGTTTGTACAGAATGTGCAAGAGCCGTAGGAAAGAGCCGTAGACGCTGGCGAAATATTGCCGGTGAACTCGAATTTGCCAGATTCCTGTGAGTCGAAGCAACCTGTTACCGCGACTCGGTTGTTCCGTGATCGTTTTATCACGACGATAGCATGTTTCGTCAATAAAGAGCACGATGAGCATCACAACAAAAGTTTCCAGGCCGAATGCCATCCAAAATGTGGCCCTCCAATTGCCAGTTCCTGCCATGATGTAGTATCCAAGCATTGGTGCGAAATAGACACAAGTGTTGAAGATTGCAAACCAGATGCCGATCTTGCGCGCTTGTTCGTGGAGGAAGAACATATCTTGGATAAATGCCAGTCCAACCGTGAGACTTCCAGATACAAAGAATCCCGTGAGGGCTCGAAGAGCATAGAACCCGGTAAAGTCTTCGACCAAGCAGACGCCCAAAGTCAGAAAAGCCCCCGTAAAAGTAACCCAGAATAGCACGGGAGCTCTTCCCCAGAAGTATATGAACGGCATCCAGAAGACCCCACCGATGCCACTTTGAACAGTGTCTGCTCACAAAGTCAAACTGGGCAAAGGGCACAATCCTCGACGTACTTCATGAGAACATTCAGGTTGCCTGCATAATTGACATGAGTCGGACTGAGGTTCCATTCAATTCCCTGTGCGATGAGACCGGGAACTCCAACAGCTGTCTGGAAATCCGATTGAAAGGCTGCCACGGCTATTGTGACGAGGATGAGATGTTTCTTCAGTTCTGACCAATTGAGAGGATCATTTGGGTCGGCCGACGGTTGTGGAATTAGTACCGTCTGGAGGTGGTCAGCTTGAGGCTCATGCATAAGCGTTGATCTCGAACACTCCCACTTACATGTCCATCTTTGCTCAGTTTCAGATTCGCAGCTCCAAGTTCAGACTTGCCCTGGCTGATGTCGAGAAGAACGGCGCCGTTGCCTTGGTCGATAACAATGGGCGACTCGACTTCCTCGACTCTGTCGTGAGAACCCCGTTCTTTGGAAGGATCCATGCTGAAGGATGCTGCAATTGCTTCATTGCGGGCCCAATGCGTTCGACGATAGGCTTGCCCGCTTTTATGTTGACAGACCCTACCCTGCGGGTTTGGAGGGAGGGGAAGGCGCGGGGACCCCAGATTCAGGATGTGGCCAGACCATCCCAAGGAGCATTGGCCCGAGATCAGGCCTCATTCTCTAGGGCCAACTTTCGGCCTATACGAGTAGGGGTTTGTTAAAAAAAGAGGCACAACGTCGGGCCGCTACTCTGGTCTGTCCAGGGGGTCCAGCTTTGGTGGTCATTGCAATCCAATGTCGGGCCGAAAGAACGCCAAGAAACACCAAGAGATTCTATGATCTAGTCCCAATTAGGAATGGATCCAGCCTGGCCAGCAACCTCATGTCTCGACATTCTCACCAGTTGTCAATGTCTGTGGGTTGGGCGACAAGTTGTGACTTACTACTTCTGGCACAGGCGGTCCAGCTCTCTGCTGCGAATTAGCTGTAGACATGTATCAAGGCACCGTGCTGATGCTTCTAGAACGCTGGACGGAGCAAGCGTTCAACCAGCAGTGCACCTCCTGCTCCCACGTTGTGTACAGGGAGTTCCTTGTCCTTCTGACGGCAGGCTCACAGCCCGAGCTACTTCAGAGATATTTCCTGGCAATGCTACAACTGCTCAACACAACAGAGGTCTATCGGTCCTACTCTAGTTTGCTGTAAAGCTGGCCTGAGAAAGCTTTTGGTTTCATTGATCTCACGCCTCAAAGCCCTTGCTTTGAACACCGAAGCTGCTTACCATACACGGCATCTTTGGAGGGCACAAATGCCCCCATTCCTACATATGTGCCTCCATCAAGGCTACGAACTGCGCTGGACGACTTCAGGGAGCTTGTGAATCGCAAGTTCAATCTACAGCTTGGTAAGTAGCGTTAAGATATGGGTTCTGCAATTGGAGCAGCATTTTCGCAATTTGACTCGCTTTCCAGACTTTTCTGACGGCGGAGGAAATTCCAGAATCTTATGCCGACCTTCATGCTTTCTCCATGACTCGGCTCAATGATTTCTGACAACAGGCCATTGACGATGACGCTGCTATCGACGAGCTCCCCGCTTTCTTCGAAGATACAACATTGAAATTCGCCGAGAGCCTCCTAGCTGGTACGCAGGATGGCCTGGCCATCATTAACGCAAACGAACGCAATTTGTCTGGTCCCGAAAGATACTCATGGCAGGATCTACGCGAATTTGTGCGTCACTACGCAGACGCTTTAACGGTGTCGGGTCTGAAAGAGGAGACGTTGTTGCACGTATGGATGTAAAAGTTATTGCCGCGATACTGGCTCACACCTCTCACTGTGGTCGGGACGAATTGCATCCGGTCGCTCGCTCTTCTATGTGCTACTACCTCCGTAGGGGGGACTTCCAGTTCCTTTCAAACTAATATGGGAGCTAAGGTTGTGCAAAACTGCGGAAATGGGACCCGACATGAACTGAGCATACAGAATAGGCACTTGATGATCGACTGCGGCTATTGAAACCACGCATCATCATTGCAGAGACGACATATTCCTACAATGGCAAGAAACACGATATCTCAGCTACTCTTGACGAGTCTATTAAGGCTCTCCAGCGCGGTGGACGGACCGAGGCGATTATCGTTGGTCCTCGTCAGAAGTTGGAATCGAAGAGGTGGGATCTGCTTATCTTATGACAATTTCCGAATCGCTAACGTAAATCAACATTTCGTTTGATGACTTCCTCGCCCATACTGTAACAGAGCACTTCAGGGTTCGGCGTGCACGTGCAACAACGCACAGAGGCCTGTCCAGCAGGTCGGGAATCGAGAACGCGTTTCTAGTTGACGCTGACAAGACAACACCACCACCAACACCACCCAGAGAGGTAGCGGCTAGAGCAACGAACGCCTAACACGGCGGTGGCATTGAGGACTGAACAGCACTGATAAAACACTTAGGAATTAGGTAGACGGCACCAAAAAGCTATGGAATTCATGGTACTCTGCTTAAACTGTAAAGAATGGCACTCTGCCAGCACTGTAAACTGTTCCGCACTCCCCCTGCCAGCCCATTTTTGGTTTGACATGTGACTAGACAACTCTCCCCCTGCTACCGCTCTACCAGCCCAGCACAGCCACTTTGCCTTGTTACAATACTACGGGTGCGCAACTCAAATTTGAGCAAGTACCTTTCAACACGCCTTGAGTAATTATGTTCTCTTCCGGCACAACAGGTACACCCAAGGTATCGTCCACTCACATGGGGTAAGCAGGATCCAAATGGTCCTGGTACCACGGCATCGGCTGATCTTCGACAGGGCCTCGTCGTGAATGCCAAAAAAGAATATCTCCTTAATAACAACCTCGGACTAGACGACTTGTATTACTAGTATACGAACGTAGGCTTCATATTTCATTTTTAGAAACCCTTTTCAGGTATATGTCTGCGTCTAACAATATTTAGATTGGGTGGACCTTGTGGAACGTCGCAGTTCACGCTTTGTTCGTGGGGACCAGCGTTATCTTATGTGACAGCAGCCCTTTTTACCCGACCCCAGCAAGATATTTGGAATTGTTGTTCAGACACAAGTATGACACTCACCTTACAAGCTTGAGGAAAATGCTCACTGCCATAGAATAACGTCATTTGGAGCAGGTCCTCGTTATTATGCCGAACTTCAGAAACTGAACATAAAACCAAGTGGGTGCCCGCACGCACCATTATTACATTTTTCCTATTTGCCGTGCCTTGGCTCACAAATCTTCTTCTCGTGATAAACAGGAAAATACGCGCAAAGCCTCCACTCCATCATCTCCACAGGTGTGTATGGATGCATGGAGATTTCATTCGAGTCAACCCCGAGACGAAGGGCATTTATATCCTTGGGCGAAGGTGAGTTTAGATCCTCTGACGTTTCCTCTAATATAAGGCGAAGGTAGTGACACAAATATTTCAGCGACGGCGTTCTGAACCCCTCTGGCGTCCGGTTTGGCAGCTCTGAAATTTACACAATCTTGAGCACGCCAAGGTTTAGCACGCTGGTTACGGATTCAATTGTCGTTGGGCAGCAGAGGTTAACCCCGCCGTACTCAGATTCATCAGAACAAGTATTCCTTTTCATCAAGACTGTTCCTAGTGTGAGTACTGGCACGCTCCGGGTCTGCCACGATCTCGAAGTCGCAGTCCGCGAACAAATCGCTCACGATCTGAGCCGGAGACACATCCCGGCCTTCATTTCCGTGACCGAGTCGGTCCCTTACAATGCCAATGGGAAGAAGTTGGAGATTCAACTCAAAGCTGTGCTTTCCGGAGGGGGCCCGGCATTGGCAAGGCTGAAAGTTACGCAGGAAGAGCGCGAGCAGCTTCAGTGGTATCTACAATTCTATGAGATCGAGAAGGTTGTCGAAGGCATCAAGGCAAAACTGCAGATGGCTCATCACTGGAGCAGGGACGCATTTACCAATTTTTACATATGGGAGACAGCTACCTGCGATTTGACGAATGGGTCATTAATCAGAGGAGGGTGTGAAGAGCTGAAGTGGATGGACATATTACACTGCCCATATGATCACCTGGAAACAAGGAGAAATCAGAGAGACTCTCATGGAGGACCTGAGATACGAAGGAGTTGTGCACCACAGTTAAGGGTGTGCTTTTTGCATCAAGCTGTCCACATTGAACGCAAACGCTCTCCTGAGTCCTAATTCACGTTCTAAGATATCCTTCCAACGCTTCAAAGCATCTTAGATAAGATTCTGACAGAAGAACATCTGAGCACTTCATTGGTTGTAGCCCTCTCTCTGAATCACTTTCATGCTTCTGCGTGATTTTGTTTTCCGAGACGCAAATGCTTCCTCTTTCTGGTAACAGCACCCACCGTTGTCACACTTGAAGTATCGCTTTAGAAGAACGAGGGGTCGATGTTGGATGGGAACCAACGTGAGCAAGTGCACTTTGTAGCTAGAACTCACCCTCAGCGCCCGGAATCACAGTAGCGTCGATGTCGTCGACGGCAGCCGTTTGCCGCAAGGACTATCCCGCATCCATTCCCGTGCCTCAAAACATGCTGATAGGCGATGGAGCCGATGCGAGAAGCTATTCCTGATTAAGGCTCAGAATGGAGGCGCCAAGTTTGTCTCCACAAATTCTCCACCGCTAGTACAATATAGTAAATTCCAAAATTTTGTGGTGTAGCAAGCGACTTCACCTTGATCGCTAACCGGGTTCTAGTCAGTACTCCTACGCTGTTCCTCTCGCATGCTTGCAGCGATGTCAATCCAACATATGTCGACTCCCTCGCCACTGGTTATAGTGGGTAGATTGGCGATAAGCACATCCATTCATTACCAATAGGACGCTTTCATTCGGGCGGTAGGTTTGATAGGGTAGCTCGGCACTCGTAAGGTGGTGATGTCCCCCCGCAAACCAAAGTCCCCCATCCACGTTTGATTAATGGAGGTAGGACATCTCTCCAAACTATATAGACCTCCGAGGGTGGTGGCCTGCAACATTTGGAGACACAACAACACGGCTCATCGTCATGGCTTCCACGATGTCGAGCGACGGTGACCATGCAGTTGAGCTTATCTCACAGGTCAAGGATATCAAAGAGAAGGAACTCACCGAGGTGTTAGAAGCAGCTGTGCCTATTGGGCTTGGTGAAATTGTCGCCTCGGAAGAGCCAGTGACAACCCGGCTCGAGTTATGGTCATGGTACGCGTATTATTTCGGAAACAACTCTGCTGGTCCTCTTTACTACACTCCCTTGAGTGGGTGCACCCTTGAGTCGATCATTTGTTTCGGCCTAGTTGGCTAATGACTGACAGTCTTCCAATACCTGCTCTACGGTGCCGGTTTCAATGGAAACGACCCGAGTCAAGATTGCAGTGATCCTAACGCGCCATGCCTCGTCAAGTTCGGCACAAGGAACATCAATGCGAGCACGGTGGTCTTGATCTGCAACGGCCTCGTTTTCGCTTTCCAGAGTGTTCTCCTGCTCTTCCTCGGATCCATGGGAGACTATGGCCCATGGAAGAAATCGGTCTTGATCGTGGCATCCGTCATCTGCTGGGGCACGCAGTTCGGCTTTCTTGGATTGAAACACCCATCGCAGTATAACATCGCCATCGCGCTCTATATCTTAACCAGTAAGCAAATATCCAATTCTTTTTCTCGTAGGCTCTTTGCTGATGTCCCACAGGCATGTCGTACAACCTATGCTACGCTTTTTGGACGCCGTCGTTCCCTCAGCTCGCGCGCAGCACTCCACAGGCGCTGGAGGCGAAGAGAGCTTACTCGGCCGGGGAGCTTACCGAGGAAGAATACAGCAAGAGAAAGTCGCTTCAACGAAACAGACTCAGTAATATCGCATTCTGCTGTACCAGTGCTGGTTTCACTTTTACTCTATTGATTGCCCTGGGAGCTGCATTCGGTCTGCACGCAAACGAGTCTGATTCAGGCAATCTGCAAGCAGCGGTGATTATCGTCGGTCTCTCAACCGGAATCTGGATCCTGGCTGGAAGTCCGTGGTTCTTCTTGGAAAAGTCACGCTCCACACCGCTACCCGAGGGCGAGACTTACTTCTCCATTGGCGCGAAGAACTACTGGTTCGCAATCAAGAATATCAAAAATTTGAGCCAGACCTGGCTTTACCTTGTTGGCTACTTCCTCATATCGGACGGATACGCGACCACAAATCAGATATACGGCATCTGCCAGTATCTCATCACCGATTATAGCACCACAGTTTCCACTGAGCTCTCCATCGTCCAGGGTGTCGCGAGCACGGTTGGCATCTACAGTCTGTGGTTCATCCAGAGGCGATTCAAGATCCAAACAAAACCGATGCTCATGACCATCTGTTGCTTTCTACTTGTCGTACCAATTTGGGGTAAGTCCCCCTTTCTGATGGTGGGTTCATGAAAGACGAAACACTAACACAGTGAGCAGGATGCATAGGCATCGGGACAACTAATTTCGGATTCCACAAGGTCTGGGAAGTGTGGGGCTACTCGGTATTCGATTGCCTGCTCGTTTCGCCCTTCTACGCCTTTTCCGCCACGATGCTGAGCGACATTTGTCCCAAGGGTCGAGAGGTCAGCTTCTTCGCCATCTACTCGCTCGTCAGCAATTCCACGGCTTGGATTGGGCCCATCATCTGCGGAGTCATCATCGACCGCACAGGCAACACTTGGACTGGATTCCCCTTTTCTCTGTCGCTCAGCGTCGTCGGGTTTGCCCTGATCTGCTGCGTGAATGTGAAAAAGGCCCAGGAACAATGCGAGGACTACGTCCGGAATGACCCTAACCTTCAGAGGCGGGGGATTCATACAGATTAGGAGACTAACAGATGAAATGAAGTCGAAAAGAGACAGAAAGTAGCCCTCGTGCATCTGAAAAAGGCGAGACTTACGACGTCTTTTCCACTTTTAGCTAGTACGCGGGTGTCGTGGCACAGAAGTCCAATATTCTCTGGTTTGAGATGACAATCTTAAATTGTCCAACAATGTGCTTTGATGGTAGCTGTAATTCGCAGTTCAGAACTTAGTGCCACCGATATGTCGCGGAATACTGACGGAACGATGGGCAGACTCATTTTCACATGGCTTAGATTTCGAGATTCAAGTCCAAACACCCTGAGAGAAGACTCGGTTTAGAGAATTGGTGAGTGGTTAGAAAGGTTTAAGTGGACTTTTCACCGCGCAGGTTCTAAGATATGGAGTCATCAAAAAGTCCCAGCGCACGACGGGGCCGCAGAGAAGCATGAATGTACCAGGAACTTCGACTTGCTATATACTTTGATAGGATATTTTCCCCTCTCCAACCACCGCTCTATACATGGTCGCGTGGAACGGTGGACGAATAGTCCCGCCCAAACACTTGCACGCCATTTTCAAATGCGTCAAATCGAGCAGTAAGATGGAAATCCGTCTGGGTAGCCGTCATCCTGTTCCACCCCTCGATGACCAAGTCGAGTCCCTTGCGGCCATATTCTTGTCGGAATTGCACCTCGGCGCGGGCTGACAATGGATCGTCTGGGGAAATCGAATATATGCTTTTGCTGGCATCTCCATAGTGCCAACCGATGGCTTCAAACTCCATAAGCCCTGTATCCAAGATACGACAAAGCGTTTTCGCGCCAGTCTCGATGTCCTCCGTGATAGTTCCGCTCATTTTCTTCCCTGGTCGTAATACCCGAGTCTTCAAGGCGGGCCCGTTCACAGCTGGCTCGAATGGCCTTAACTGGGAGTCATGTTCACCTTCTAGCCGTGTTGGAAGCTCTAGTTTGCTCTGAACGCAGTCCAGTGTCAGCGTCGCGATCTCCGGCGAGGGCCAGCAGATTGGAAAATATGATGTGGACAAAGCGAGCCGAAGACGACTTCCGGCGCTGATACGTTGGCCACACTCGTTCAACTTAATTGAAACATCATAGAAACGCCCAATTTCGAGAGGTTCTAGGTCTGTATGGCTATTGCGATGTGTCAGGTTAAGCATACCGAAAGATATCCTCGTGGACGAGCCGTCTGGTAGAATCTCGGAGAGGACAGCCACAATGAGAGCGTTCGGTTTGTCGCTGGCGATCCGGAGGGAAACAATTGGGGCACCGAAGAGATCTAATCGTTGAGTAAGTGCCGAACTGTCACAGAGTAGAGAGCCGCCTGCTTCGGAGCGTTGATCACTGGGGAGATCAAGATCGAGACCCGGGCACCAGAGACCCCCGGCGAACCCAACCGTCATGGGAGAGCAAATCGAGAGCCGCTCTTTGACCGTTGAGAGCTCATCACTTAGCCGCCCTGCTGAGAATCTCATGGTGCGAGGAATAATACCTTCAGCTGGCCAGCTGTTCTCCGCCACCCAATGGCCAGGACGGAAGTCATACTGAGTGCGCGGAGGCACAGTATCTTGTAGGTAGCAGCGGAGCATTGGTTCATCCATGATACCCGTTTCTTTGCCTTTCAACCACTTATCCCACCAGCGGAGGGATTCTTGCAAAAAGCCAATCTGTGGACCAGGCGTTGCAAAATTGGGATATGCATGGGCCCAAGGGCCAATTAGGGCCTTCCGAGGACATTCGAGGTGTTCCAGCATCCGAAAGACCGTGTTCGAATATCCATCCGACCAGGCACCAACAAGATAGACGGGGCACTGAATGGCACTGTAGTCTTCGCAGATCGAGGCATGCTTCCAGAACTCATCGCGCCGTTGGTGCGCGTGCCATTCGACCATCCAGTTACCGCCAGCTTCCAGACGACTCATCCACTGGTCGCGCCACTTATCGCCCACTAAGGCTGGGTCTGGGGGCGTCGGGGTGATGCTGAACATGGTCGCGCCCCACGTGAAATTGTCAACAAGTAGACAGCCCCCCATGTAATGGACGTCATCTGCGTAGCGGTCGTCGGTCGAGCAGAGTGAGATGACTGCCTTCAATTGCGGAGGGCGTCGAGCCGCCACCTGCAACCCATTGAACCCACCCCAGGAGATTCCAATCATACCAATCGACCCAGAACACCAGTCTTGTGTGGCAATCCATCGCAAGATTTCCAACGCATCGTCCTGCTCCTGCTTGAGATATTCGCCAAGTAGAATGCCCTCGGAATCACCGCTACCCCGCATGTCGACGCGGACACACGCATATCCATAAGAGGCGACATAGGAGTGATTGAGAGCGTCCCTTTCAGCCGTTCCATCGCGTTTCCTATAAGGCAAATACTCGAGGATTGCTGGTACTGGATTAATCGTCGCATCTTCAGGCAGCCAGACCATTGTCGACAGGACGGTATTATCAGAAAGTCGGATTTCATCGTGCTCGTGAATGTGGATTGGCACTGGATAGGACGATCTGCTCGTCATGTTTGGCTCTCAAAATACAAAACACCACAGATGGCTTGGTGGAATAAGCTGCTAGCACTCTTATTGAAAGAGGAGAGAAAGTTGCTGGAATATAGTGCGTGGATTGAGGTCACCACCATAATATCGAATGTCTCCGACGCACAACGCAACAACAACAAACTCCAACAATAAACACAGCCTATTAGTTCTACATCCAATCACTCACCATTTGCCTCATTTGGTCTGCATCACCGAGATGTCAAAATCTTGGGTCGCCTTCGGCATTGTTTCAGCTCCTTCTCGTCCGCAATCAAAACCAGGAGATCTTGCAATGCATTCTCGCATTCATCATCGAAGCTCTGGTGCAACTGAGCACGAGGGCAATGTTGTCGCCTTGGCCGTATCCTCGCCGCGTCTCCCAATTATTTCCCAATTCGGATCCTTTGTGATATAAATCATGTCATCCACACTCTTTTGGGCAACCAAAGGGAGATCTTGACGATGGGGGGGGGGG